AGGCGCCAGCCGTGACAGGGCGCGGGAGTGCGCATGCGCAGCCGCCCGCCTGCGGGGCCAGTGAGGGCGCGAAGCTCTTCATCAAAAAAAAAAAAACCAAACCAAACCAAAACCAAACAAAAAACCCCACCAAAAACCAAAATAAAACAACCCCCCCGAAATCATCCTCCCTGTGCCAGGGTGCCCGCCTCCCCTTGACGACGGCTGTAGTGCCCACACACCTTCTGAAATTCAGAGCAATCTTAGTTTACCCGCCGGGGTGGGATGCCACGCTGGCTGCTCAGCACAGGTTGGCTTTTGGGTGGGATCTGCCCACTGCTGGGTGCGCAGCCAGACCCATTCCAGCAACAAATAACGGGGAAAACGCATGTATCTGTAGTACGTGGGGAAAGCACCAACCGCTTCGTGGTTTTTTTTTTTTTTTCCCTTGATGCCATCAATCCTTGAAAGGCCGCGCTCTGCAATGTCCAAATAAACGCCTGGGGAAGCGCAGATCAGCTGCTCACGCCGGAACCGCCGCGTGCCTGAACGCTGCCTGAAGCTGGCAACCGTACAGACCTGAGCTGCTAACGAAGAACACAGACTGCAGACAGTCAGGTGCCAAGGCACCCGCCGTACCCAACACCGTATCAAATACATTTACAGGCAGAATGTTCTTCCTGCACCACCACCAGCAGCACTTCCACAGCAGGCCTCCGGCCAGCACCGCACTGGAAAACACGGCCACGGTCGTTTGTCAGGGAGTTCACGCAGATCCTGTAGTACAAGGTTTAGATCACAGCGACTTCGTGCTAGCAAGACACATCTCAGCAACATGAAAACCAGTGCTTGGGCTGACAGATTAAGGGACCTGGCACTGTAATCGCACCACACCACTAAATGAGATGGTGCTACTGAAAAATACATTAATAGCTGACAAATTTAAATGCAAGTGAGCTTATACAGTGCCACTCCAAGAAGTGCTTAATTTTGAGGATATTAAGCTGGGCAATGAATGCAAGCCCTCCTTAAATTAGGCTGCTTTTCTAGTATAATCTTCAGAGCGTTTAATAAAGATTTAAGAACCCCTCAAAGGATATCAGAAAATTCACATAACCAACGTATTGCCCAGGTGGTTATAACAGAACAAGACAGTATGAAACCTGTAACTTTTTATTTAAAAAAAAAAAAAAATTAACAGCTTCAGAATAGATCAAATGTAGTAACTTCTCCAAAAAATACCAAAAGGTACAGTGTAAAGCATCTTCTCATTAAATACAAACTAGCGTTTTTTGATGCACTGCATCAATGTTTTGCATCTATGTTGATGCAAAAGAATTTTTTTGTTGCATCCTGGCACATGGAAAACGTGTACACTGAAACAGGATGACTGACACCACTTTATCTACTCAAATTCTAACAGTGGGACCTTTTTTTTTTTTTTAAAAAAAAATTCCTACTAGTAATTAAGAAAGAAACCTTAACACCATTACGTATAGTTTGCTTCTGCTAAGGTATATTTTTCAACATTAAAAATAGGGGTTTATGCATTATATAGCATCAGGATGCACTCTTGACTTTAAAACTGCTACACAAACGAAAGCCCTTCTACTAGCAAATGCTCTTGAAGTTGGAAGTTCCCAGTAAATGCTAGTTAACTTGGAATTTGAGATAAAAATGCAAGGAAACCAACTCTGTAAGAAGTCAAATGTAAATTCTTCAAGAATGATAAAAGGACAAAACCCCACTTCAAACACCATAAACATTTCTGGATGCAGCAAGCCAATCATTCTTTTACCTGACTGTACCTAAATCTCATTGCTATAGAACAGTGTTAAATTCATCAGTTCCTGGTCTAGAAGCAGTTCTGAACAGGTGCCTCAGTTTTTGGGATCATGTAAGTTCAGACTGAGGATGCCCCGGTTGTTACCATCCTGCAGATTTAGACGCACAAAGCAAAGCTTAAAGCAAGTGACTCCATGTGCCTGCTTAATGCCTTACACATGCTGGCAAACTGAGGCCTTTCTTCCAGCAATGTTCCCCAGTTTCAGCCAATTTCAAGATGTCTGACCACTTCTGATCAGCTTCACATCCTACCTCTCTTTGGTATACACAGACAAGTGCCCTTGGATTGCTTGTGTCTGGCTATTTCTAAGAGCCAGAGAGAACTCTCTGGGGCAAGGTATGCAAGATGACAATCCTGTCTAGGAGGGTAAGGAACTCTACCGTACCACTGACCTTCTTGTGAACTGTTGTATTTATTCCTATGGAATTATTAAAAAATGTGAAGTTATTGCATTAAGTCTGTGAAAAAACTTACAAAAATAAATAGAAAGCAAAAGTTTAAGAAAAAATAGGAGGCAGACATATTCCATTCACAGAGGAGGATGATGAACTCGAGCCATTTGCAATATAAATTACTCTCGTACTGCCTGGGTAGTATTCCTCCAGTATGATCTGGACCACTTTTAAGGATAAGAGTAGAATAGTCTCCATCCCAATTACATATTTTGGGTCTCAGCTAACAGCTTTATTTGTGAAAGTGAGGATGCAAAACACTTAGTTTTCAAGAAAGGAAAAAAAAATGAACTTCAAAAGCACAAAGAAGTACAACCGATGCTGCCATGAAAAATGCCGCTACATCACTACCAAAGTATTCACGGACTGAGGCTCTGTGCCAAATTGCAGTCCAAAGGAAAGTTCATAGGCAGTCCCTAAAAAACCCTAAAATGGGGTTTGTAATGAAACACTTACACAATCTTTACCATAACAGAGGGGTCAAAGAACAGATACTGAGCACTCTCAGACAAAAAAAAAAAACAAAACCAAAAAACCAAAAAACACCTTTTAAAATTTGTGTTTTGGTTGCAAGATGAACCAAAGATCAGCGTTTGTCATCAGCTGGGCAACAGAATCTTTTCCAACCAGGTGATGGTGCCACTCCAGCGGATCAGTTTCCCCACTTTTCCCCCCTCAGGGCATTATGTCTTTTACCATTCAAAGTCAAAGTAATAAAGATAGATAGCTCTGCCACCATCTTAGCGAGAAGACTGGAGAATTTCAGAGACGTATGCTGTATTCTTCTGCCCACTTTTATCTCAGTTTCTTAGGTAGGTGGGATCAGTGCTCAAGTCCATCTGTCAGGTTAGCCCACTGTTACAAAACGGCTTCCTTTGTTCTGAGACAGTGCTGTTCTTTGTTCCTTCAGGATCCCAAAACGTTCGTTCAACGTTATCCCTGTCTGAAAAATAATTTAACCACAAATGTAAAAGATGTTAATTTAATCAAAGTAATGGAGACAAGAATAATTTTAAATTTTTTCCCCATTCTGTATGATCACTTGACTTCTTAATTGCTTCACCTAGAGCAAAAGAGCTAGCATTTCTCAGAATTCATTAAGAATACATGGTACACAATGTCAAGACTGAAAGTCTAATTCTAAGTTAAACTGAGGACAGACGGACTGAACAAGGGAACTTTCACTACGCTCATTTCCCCACACAGATTCTATGCAACTTCGACAAATGCAGCATTTTAACGGCGTTAATGCAGGTTGCTTTCCAGTCCATCCAGCTGAGGCAGCAGACTGGAGTCCAAAAGTTCAACTATTCAACTACTTTTACAATACAGTAGTAGATTATTTTTGACATTCATGGAAGGAGCAAATCCAGACCGACGCACTGATCCCATGTAGTTTTCTACAGCTGGCCGTAAGGAGCTGATTACAAGAACAGCATCTAACTCCATCGCCTGTAAGAATTCCTTGAATGACAGCACTAAGATTCCTGCACCACATCGCCCGTCTTCATGAGACTTGTGAAAAATTGCTCATCTTTCAAGCCTTTACGTCATCCCATTTCATGTTTTTTTCCTAGATGCACAGCAAAAGTTGCCTTAGAAATTCAGCTGTCAGGGTTCTGTGCAAGTTACACAACAGAAAGCAGCTCATCCCTGA